TTTTTTCTTTTTGCTGCTCTGTCTAGGTGTTTTTTTTTCTACCTTGTCTTACTAAACACTGATGCGATCCTATACTTCTTCTAACCTACTGTTTATTCCTTCCAGTGCATTATTAATTTCAGATATTGCATTCTTTATTTCTGACTGGTCCTTTTTTTATGGTTTCTATGTCTTCTTTCATGCATTTGAGTATCCTCATTATCATTACCCTAAACTCCCTATCTGATAAATTGCTTGCTTCCATTTCATCTAGTTCTTCTGGAGAATTCTTTTGTTTTTTTTCATTTGGGGTATGTTTATTTGTCTTCTCATATTGGCTGCTTCTTTGTATTTTTGGCCTTAGGTGTTAAACTAATCAGTCATTGGCCTGATTAGCTGTTAATATAATCAAGCAATAATCTGCAGCCTGGCTTAAGGACTGCAGGCTAGGGCAGAGTAATTCCTGGAGATGGAGCTCTTTCTTTTCCTCAAGCTGATGCCACTTGGAGAGGAGTGACCTTCCTGAGAAAGATGGCTCCTGCAGTATGGGAAATGACTCAGCACAGAGATCCTGTCAACTATTCCCTCAGTTCTCTCTCAATAGCCACCAAACCCAGACTCTCCTCAAGCACCTCTAGTACATTCTGCCGCTCCTCTGCCAAAGCCCAGGATAAATAGCTGCAAATGAAATTTTGTGCATCGGCTCTTTAACAGGCTCTGTGTGCCTACAGCTGTCTCTGTCTGACAGAGAAAATTCCTGTTGCTTTTCACAGCTGGATGTTGTCTGAATTCCCTTCTGGCTCTGGTGCTGTAGGCTGGGGAGTCCAGCTTATGGTTTAGACTGAACACTTCTCTGGGGAACCTCCTGGCTGCTAAAATATCCCTCCTTATCTTCAGCTGCCACCCATGGGAGCCCAGCTAGCCCTCTTGCATCTCCACACTCCCTACTAGTTATGTTGTGGTGAAGTGGTTTCTTCTGTATGCCCTTGGTTATAAGACTTCCCTCCAGCTAGTGTTCACTTGGTTATTAGGATGCTTTCTCTACAATTTAGTTGTAATTCCAGATTGGTCCTGGGAGGAGATTAGAGTAGCATCTACTTACTCCTCCACTATCTTGGATCTCCCCACACTCTCTCCATTTTCATCCTCTTCCTTCATTGATTCTTTTTCTTCAGTCACCATAGACTGATCCTGTCTCTTTTTACTTGGGATTACTTTTTTCTCCAGGCATTTTCTTTAAGTCTATTCTTACATTTATTTGATATTTATAATTTGTCTAGTTGTAGATGTTGTCAGAGTATAATTTTCAAATCTTTGAAAACATGGCATATAAATATGGAATAGATGTAAATCAAAAGTTTTGTTCAGCTCATTAATTAATGAGGGAACCACTTAAATGGTAAAACTGGTTTAAAATCTTTCTGAGTAATAGATACAAGTAACTTTTTAAAAAAGGGAATATCAGGATGAGGTCTCTAGGTTAAATACAGAAGTGTTTAAAACCCTACAGGACAACAAAATCATAACTTTTGGTGGTCTTTTCTACTGGACAGTAACCTACAAATTAATACATAACTTGGTAACTTCACAGTGTTAAGGCTCAAATCCAATATTAAGTAGCAAAATCAAACTCAAGTAAGTTCTCCTAGAGACTTAATAATCCTTGCACGGACTTGTTAAATAATGCTTCATTATAACATTGAATAAACATGCAGTACTCATTGCTGACTTCCAAGTCTTGAATAATTTTTACAATATAATTGACTATTACAAACACTTGAGTGACTCAAATAGGTAGAATTCGTTTATTAAGTTCTTTAATGCCTCCTCCACATTTATGCATGAAGAGCCTGTATAACATGGCAGAATACTCCATGTAACAATGTATAACTTCCAGCCAGTCATAATCTTTCTGCTCGTAGTTTTTCCTACCATAAATGAGGAACTGGAATAAGTTGATCACTAAAAACTTTCCGTGTTTTAAAATATTGTTATTCTTTAAGACTGGAATTGAGAAGGGCAAAATATCATGGTTCTTTAACTGGCATGTGGAGTTAGGCAATGGGGCCCCCTAATGGTCTTCAATGAATTCTTGACATGCCAGCCTTCTAATTATCCCAGAATGTCTGGGGAACTTCTTATAAAAGGTTTGGGAATACTTCCTTTAGGACTCTTGATTTAACTGGTCTAGATATGTTATCTAGTGCCACAAAAATGCTGCATAACAAACAATTACAAAACTTAAATAGAATACAATAATTTATTTTTGCTTTCAACTCTATGAGTTCTGTTGATCTTGGTTAGGCCTGGCTGGACAGTTCATTGTCCCTTAGCTGGGACAAACTGACACATCTAGTGGTCAGCTAGCTGTTGGCTTCAGGACAACCTCACTAGGATAACTGATTCTGCTCCAAAAGATTTCTCCATCAGCTTAGCCTAAGTTTGTTCTAGTGTTGGTGGCAGAGTTCTGAGAGTGGAAGCAAGCAAGGACTTGTAAGACTAAGACTCAGACATGGCAAACCATCAGTTCTACCACATACTGTTGGCCAAAGAAAGTCATAAGGAAGCCTGTAGGGAAATAGGCTCCATCTCTTGATGGGAAAGAAGAGGCAACTCATATAAAAAGGGGCATAAATGTGGAGAGGGAGGATGAATTGGTGCCGTTTTTATTCAACTTTTAAGATTCCTCAGGCAGGAATAGATCAGCTTTACCTTGCAAAGTGCTTCTAAGTACTCTCCAAAATGCTATATGAATGTTGAGGTTTTCCAGTCTGGCTGGTAGAAACATGCACTATCCTGGCTTTGTGTATGCCAGATACTGCTTCTAATCCTTTCAGGTGGTTCTTTTCAAAGCCTTTGGTAGTTACCCCACACTTAATATCTGATTTGTACTTAGCAAAATATTCAATAGGACTCTTCAAATTTTTGGAGCTCATTATGTTTTTTGGCATATACTTCTCTGTTACCTTTCCCTGTCAACTCTAGCCCTTTGATTTCAGGGGTCTGTCAGTGATTCTGGTACTATGTTGTCGAATAATCAGGATTTTCAAAAATAGGGTTTTTTTTAACATATTTTGTCTAGTTTTCTTAGTCATTTCATGCAGGAGAGTAAATTCAGTCTCTGTTGCTCCATTTCGGCCAGAAACAGAAGTCTCCAATTCTTAGAATTTATGCTTAGGAAAAAGAAGGATTTCTAAAGACTATGGATGACTTAACTTTTGGTGGAAAAAAGCAGTATGCAAATATCTGATTATAGTTTAAAATATGTATTTCTCTCTTGCTTGTGCAATTTCACTCTCTTCCCTTCTCTTTTCAGTCTAGTTGTTATATTTTATTGTATCGTGTGTGGGTATTCATTTTATCTTACCAATGACAGTATAAGATTTATTTAGATGTTGTGACTATACCATACACTTCTTTATATTCTTCACCATGTGTGTTACATTTTAGAGTTAATGGTAATCAATTAATGATTCTCCTTTTCTGTAAAAAAGGACTCAAACCCTGAGGATTAGTTAAGTGTTGTTTACTTGTGCTTTGTAGAGTGAAATTCAGGGTAAATAATGGTTTTAACTTTTAGGTTGATGTCAATTTTGGTTTAAATTGTCTCCACTTAAATTAGGTGCCATATGTTAGACTACAATTGCTTATGAGTTCAACTACCACCTACTTAGAACAATACTCCAGGCTGACAGAAAGAACACTCTCTAAACCTCTCAGACCCTCTCATTTTGGTGAGGCTTATTTTCTTTCTCAGAAAACTTGAAGTCATAATTCACAAACATATGTATGGATCGAACACTTTCAACCTGCTCGATGTGTGTGATATTGAGAAAAGATATTTGTAGAAGAAGTATTTCTCTGTAAACTCTCAATTGTATTAATATTATCTGTGAACTTTCCTGTAGACTGCCTTCTTATAATCACACACTTGTGTTCTTCTCCCTCCCTCTCTCCTCAACTTCTGCATCTCCTCCCCTGTCATGTATTTCATAAAATGATAGGTGGAGAAGGCAGACAAAGTGATTACTATATACCCTTAATTTGACTTAGGATGAGCATAATTACAAAGCAGAAGTTTTTGCAAAAAAAAATCAAACTATTATCTAAGGACAAACATGATTATTTGGGGAATCATTTGATCAGTTGCTTTCTTTCATTAGTATGGACAATCTATAGTTGGCCACACAGTTGTTTATTGTGCTTGTCAAAATACAAGGAGAATTAATTTTAATATTTTTCATGCATCTGCCTTTAATATAGTCTTATTCTACACATAACATAACTTGATGGAAAATATTGAATTCCATGTTAAGTTAAACATTTTTATAGGTAAATAATTTGAACTCAGATATGCATACAATGATACGGTGATGCTGTTTATATGTCTGGGACAACATTTTATTTACAATCTATTTTCTTTTGTTTTTTTCACTATTGTGGTAAAAATCTGAAATGCATTAGGATTTCTAGATTTATAACAATGTGTATAATTGCCTATATAAGATTATGAAAATAAATCCCAGGAATCTGGAAATGAAAGCTTTTGGATTTTTTAGGAATGTCATGCACATATGGGTGGTTATTATTATTGTTAATCCACACACAAGAATATCCTTCCTGTTTATAAAGCAAACATATACAAAGCTCACTGAAATGTATACAACATATCCCAGAATATTATTTATAATAAAACTGAACTGTACTGCTGTCATCATAAACCCTTAAAATAAAGTCAAGTGTAACTGTAGTTTATACTCCTAAAAGCCTAATTTTTTTAATAGATTTAACTTCTACTTATAAGAATGGATAGCATTTTGAAATTAAAAAATTTTGATTCAGCATTTCAAATATGTACACTTTCTTTTTGGTAAGCTTTTACATCAAAACAAGAGAATGTAGCATATTAGTAAATGTTTATTTTATGAGCACAGCTCATTTTAATTATTTGATACATTTAGATTTTGTATACATCTCCATAAAATGACATACCAATGCAATTTTTATTATGCCTTTTTCAGAACACAAATGCCAATCAGAACATGAGGAAAAGAACAAATGCCTTGGTTCACTCTGAGTCTGACATTGGCATCAAAACCGAGGTAGGAAACCATTCGAACAGATCTTCCATGGTTGTCCAAGGATCTTCTGAAGCCACATCTCAGTCTTACTTAGCTTCCAGTCCAAACCCGTTCAGCCATGCAAATGCAGCTGAAACTATATCTGCTGCAAGAGCACTTCCATCTGCTTCTTTTTCTACTCCTAGTAGAACTGGGTATGTGCCCCGGCAAGCTTCAACTGGATCTGCTTTTACCCAACATGTGTTCGGATCAAGACTGGGGCGAATTAAGACCACAGTTAATACCGTAGGGGCTTCTGGGAAGTTGTCGGCCACCGCTCCTCCCTCTGCTCCACCACCTTCTGGATCTGGCACAAGTAAAATAGACAAATATGCTCGCATCCTCTTTCCAGTGACATTCGGGGCATTTAACATGGTATATTGGGTTGTTTATTTATCTAAGGACACCATGGAGAAATCAGAAAGTCTGATGTAAATTTTTTGCTATAGTAGTTTCCTAAAATATGATGAACTTAATGCAAAATGTCTTTTTAAATGTTTTTAAAGATAAACAATTATTCTTTGCTAAAATAAAAATGCTATATAATTTTTCCATTTAAAAAATTCAAGCCAGTTATTGGGAGAGTTAATTAATTCCTCAGTGAAGAGAAAATGAGCCAATTTTCATTTCAGAAAATGATTTAAATAGAATCAATTCTGCATTCAAATTAGACAGAATACAGACCATCTTGGAAAGTTGAGACAAGAGAAATAGGGCTATTAGAAATATGTGGTGCATATTTATGTACTGAAATTTGAAAACAAACTATGACATTTTTAAATATACACTATGAAGATCAACCAACCACCCTAAATTTCCCAGTGGCATTGCCCTTAATCAGAATTGTTTAGCAGACATTATATCTGGTGACCTTTGGAGACCCTCTTGCCTAGTATCTGCAAGAAAAGAACTTTTCCCGTTAAATGAAACATTTTTAAAAGGAAACTGGAAGAAAACAAATGCTGACCAATGGAGTGAAACCTCTGCTTCATTGAAAAGAAATAGAGGCTAGGGAAAATATGTTCCCTGGCACGATGGCCAAACAAGACTTAACAGTTGACTTGAAAATTTGTGCTTTGAGCCAAAGTTTAACTCATTGTATGAATTATTTTGATAGTAGTTCATTCAGTTATGTGTTTTTTCAACATATGTTTATTCAGAGCCTACTGTGTCCCAGACACTATGCTAGACATTGTCTCTCTAGGAAAGCTCCTTCAGCATTACCTGCGATATTACTTCGATAGAACAGTCAGTGCATGCTAATGAACCATAAACTAGCAGAAGCCACTGCATTCTTTAATGGAGAAAAATTATTTAGAGTCTGTAAACATATTTAAAATATTTGTCTCCTATACAGATAGAGATAACAGGTATATTGTTCACATAGCCACTTTTGAGATAAGTACACATTAGTACAACTTCAGCGATTGACATCAAAATATAATGAAAATGTGGTATCAATTTTTCTAAGTGAAAAGCACTTTGTGCCTGAAAGTAGAATTCTAGGCGCTGTAAGAACTTATAGATTACCTGTCTGAAATGTGATCAGAATCGCAGAATCATGAGAATTAAGAACTCAATATGAAGCCTTTTTAAATGCTTTTCCCCAACATAGATCTGGTGAAATGTATTAGCTAGTGAGATGCTAAACTTCTGGAGAGGTTTTGTGTCCATAATTCTGTATTTCTGGACGGTTTCATGTTTATTTGGGGAAAGGTTTGCACAGTTTCGTAAATGAGGTGAGCTTTTCAGAATTAAAAGAGCAGCAGCAAAGGAATGGAGTACAGAAAAAAAAAACAAACCCCAAAACCCGTAGCCAAGGGGTAGGATGCCACTAACTCCATTAATACAGTTTATCAAGATTTTCATGTGCTAACTTTTCTTTTTCATTAGGTAGACATAACAAGTTAATTGAATTTCAAGCAGCTCTCTTATGCTGCTAAATCTAGGTTGATTTTTTGTTGCATTGCTTCCAGATTTTTATTTTATACTTCTCTCTCTCACCTGGGTTTTGTGGATGAATGTGTTCTGGAAGTTTTGGGGAAAATTTTGAGAGAAATGGCCACTTTGCAAACAGGAGCTCTAATTTTTTAGAAAGGCAATTGTATTAATTGGCATTAGTTTTTCAATTATTGAATTATTTGGAGTGGTTTTGTCTGAGACCTGTAATGTGTTTAAATGCCAAATATTGTGAGTCATATCTGAGAATTCCTTCCTGGTCATCTCTCCAGGTAATTCCTAGAATAATCACAGTTTTAGGGCTGAATTATGCTTTCAAAATCACCCAATCCAAATCCCTCATTTACAAATTGACATCTGTAATATGAGGCCCAGTAAAATTTATATAAATATATATATTTAATAAAGAATATTTATACAAAAAGCTTATCAAACATTATCTCATGAATGTGAATAGATTGCTAGCCTTGAGAACAATAATTGAAATTGTTGTTGGAAGTTATGATTGTTCTTTGTTCTAATGAAAGGACCTTATTGCTTTGGTGAGGAATATACTCCTTGCTTATTTATTGGCCAATTTTTAACAAGTATTTCATTGTCTTCAATTTTTAAAAATAAATTCTCCCCTTATAAGTTTTATAGATGTTGAAGGGATAAAAATAAATGATTTTGGAATTGTAGACCAGAGATGCAAATGAACTCATAGTATTTTTCTTATTTTTGTACATGAAGAAGATTTTAAGTAAATCAAGTGACCAAATAAAGAGAAAGGGAAAAATTAACCAAGAATTCTTTTATTTTTTAAGATTTTATTCATGTATTAAGGAAGGGAAAAAGAGAGGGAGAAAAACATCAATGTTGGTTGCCTCTTGTGTGCACCCTACAGGGGATCTGGCCTGCAACCCAGGAATGTGCCCTCACAGGGAATAGAACCAGCAACTTTTTGGTTTGCACTCAATCTACAGAGCCACACCAGCCAGGGCTAGCCATGGATTCTTAATTGTTAATTTGAAGAAATTGACCAGAAAATCTAACCATTAGTAGAAAAAGGAAGTGTTTTATTAGCACCCAATGTTATTAGTAATAATAATAATAATTCATAGTTTATTTTTTCCCCAATGAATTCCATCAAATTAATTCAAGGCTAAATTCTTTCATATTTTGGTCATCATTTCTATCTTTCTAATAACTCAGAGCTACATTAATTGTAACACTTGTGACTTGCAAGTTTTCACCCTTAGAAAATTTCATTAGAGTTATGAGAACTCAAAGTCCTGGCAATTTGTGAAGAAGGATTCTGACTGAGAAGACTACCTTTGCATGTCTCTATTTTTTTTAAATATATAATTCAGAATTGTTTCATTCAGCACCAAGATCTACATTCTAGCTTTCAACTGCAAGTTGGACAATAAGTGCTATGTCATTACTTTTAATTTCCTCCAGGCATGACTAGGTATAATAATATATTTACATGATTAATCCACAGTTAAAAATAACTTGCATTTGTGCATATACAGAGTATGTGAATAATGTGTATTTTAAATTAGACCTCACCCATCCTGAATTGGAGTAGGTAGAGAGTAGTCACCCTCTTTTACAGAAGGAAATGAATCAGAGAAAATTTAGTGACAAAGATAAGAGCTGGAAAGGGTTTAAAGGGTCATTTTCCCATCACCCGACTTTAGCAGTGATTGTGTTTCAAGCAATACATAAAATAATTCTTATTTATTTTATCCATGAACTGGTAATTCTGTCTGACTTGGGAAAAAATCCCTACTTTCCAATGCCCCCTTTTCTAGATTTGTGAATACCCTCTAAGGGAAAAGCACCAGGTAGAGAAATGAGTGAACTGACTTCAAGTTTTGACACCCACTAGTGTGGTTTTAGACAAGACATTTAAACTCCCTAGGCTTTGTTTCCTATTTATAACAGGAAAGTGGGATGAGAAAATATCTAAGATTTCTTCCCATTTTAATATTCTCTGGTCCTCATGTAGCCTAAATACAAGCATATGGAACAGATACACTGGATAGTTTGTGCCACAAACAGATATTTATGGGGGTAAAACTGAGTTTAGTGCCATTGCTTAATTACTTTTAGCTCAAGGCTCGCCTCAAATTAAGGTTTTCTTAAATAACGTTTCTCCACTTAGATTAGATATTTTCTTCCTTGTGGAAGATTTTGTTCCTTAAAGACTGAAGAATTTTGATTCTTTTTCTTTTTCTTATTTGGTTTTTATTCATCTTTCCTGGATGGGCTCCTGGGTAATGTTGGACACCATGCTGATGTTTAGATGTACAAAGGAAACAAAACTGTTTTATTTCCTTATAGGTGGTCACAGTCAGGTAGTGATGGTAGATGTGTGGACAAATCACTATGGAGTGTAGTAAGTGATACAACAGTATAGTATAGAGCCGAGACTAGGGTGATATGAATGAGCACTAACCTCAGGCACAAAAATATTTGAGGCACTAAAAAACTCAATAAGCAAGATAAATAACATTTTGAAAGAATATTTTAAAAAGTCAAAATTCATGCAAAAATCCTCGATAAACCAAATACCCAAATTTTAAATAAGGATGGGATCAGTATTAATAATGTTTTCTTTTGCATCAAGCTCTAATAATACTTGGCCTGGAACTGGTACAGAGGGCAGAAAAAAATTACGTAATTTTGTAACTTCATTGATGGAGAGGAAGAAAGCGTGGTGGCAGAAAGGCTTCACAGGGATACTACTGAACGGAGCTTTGTAGAATCATTTGGAATTCTAGCCCCTCTGCCTGCTCCCACAAACAAAAAGACACATTTTAAGCACCACATGAACCCTGAAAAGAGATACAGATTTGGAACTCCAGGGGGAACTCTTACTACAAATACTTCAGGGTCTGGGGGAGAAGCAGGAAAATGAATACAGGGCAGTGCGCATTGTTAATGTGGAAGGAACTGCTGGGGCTGGATTAGAGAGAGTTTTGTGTAAATCATTAAAAAAGATTGGGTTTGATCCCCAATTAGTGGCAATTTATTGAAAATCTTGACAGATAATAAAAATCAACATGGTATTAAAACTGAACCCAGGTTTGGCAGCCTGTCCCAAGGAAAGCCACACCCGTGAGACAAGTGTTGGTGAAAAGGAGGGTGACTTATTGGAGCGCCAGCATTTTGAGAAGAGGTGGGAGAGGATTCCTGTCCTCAAAAAGCCATCTTAACATCTCTGGTTAAGCCAGCAATTCTTAGAGGGAGTTGGTGGGATTTCAGTCCAGGAAAACTTCCCAGGGGGAGTGCAGACATGCAGTTTCTTTTGAGAGAGGGAAGCAGGAATAAGGGGAGGGTGCTGGAAGGGGAGCTGTTCAGTTGTAGCTCAGGTTTGCTCCTTTTGTTCTGTTTTCTCTCGATTCGCTTTAGTCAGACATTTATGATTTTGCTGCTGGAGTGAGCACTCCTCACAACTGCAATAAAAATTCCACCAGAGATGAAGGCAGAGGGTTGACTTCAATTTGTTACAGAATACATAACTATGGTCACTAGCTGGGAGATACTAAACCATGGTTACAACTGAACACTTGAAATAGTGCAGGCAGAGGTTTTCATGAGGAGGGAAGAAAGGGAAAGCAGAACAAAGAGTTGAGGGGAGGGGTTTTGCACATGCAGGCTGTGTCCTTGCTGGTCCCGGTAGGGATCTTTAGGTTAGTGACCTTAAGTTGACCGTCTGGTTTTTGCCAGTTTAGCAAGATTTTGAGGTCAGGCAATTTGTTAGGTTTACACAGGAGCTAAATCTGTTGATTCTAGTATAAAAATACTTAGAAAAGAAAGTTTTAACATGTAAACTCTAGCTTTGAGAGAAAAATCAGATTAGATTGACAAGCTGGGTTAAATATTTACTAAGATCAATATGGGTGCCTTTATTGGGTGTGACATATGGGTGCCCGCTCATATATCACATTTCTTGTAGTTATTTTGTGAAACACTAAATCACTCAGGTGACTCTCCCTACAGCCCAGATTTGGTGCCCTGCAACTTCTGGCTTTTTCCAAAACTAAAATCACCTTGGAAGGGTAGAGACTTTAGACCACCAATGAGATTTAGGAAAATAAAACAAGGCTGCTGATAGTGATTGGGAGAACTGTGTGAGGTCCCAAGGTATCTACTTTGAAGGGGACTGAAGCATCATTGTCCTACTATATACAGTGTATCTTGTATCTTGTATCTTATTCAGTAAATATCTCTGTTTTTCACGTTACATGGCTGGATACCTTCTGGACAGACTTCGTATAACTGGAATCCTACAAAGACAGATTTTGTTCTCTTGACTATTCATGGTCCATCTCATGGCTTCAAACAGCCTTGCGGGCCATTTCAGGACCATCAGACTTACTGACATATGTATCCTATACAAGATATCTGCCAGCCAAGTTCCTCTCTCCTATTATTGCAAATGATTCCCTATTTGAAAACTATCATTTGTTGTTCATTACTTATGATTTTCACTTTGTTTTCCCCAAGTTTTCATTATGTTATTGTTAGAGGGGTTTTGTAGAAATCGAGTCAATCATGAATGCTTTTATTGCATCATTAAAAAGTAAAGCACCACCTGTTATTTTGATTTCATTTAGAGCAGGGGTTGACCAGGGTATCATTTACTGATATCTTTTATTGACAACCAGAACTATGTGGTTTTCCCTTCCATATACCAGGCATCATTGCAATCACATATTAAACCTGGATTAAAGCTGTGATAACACAGTCAATAGGAAACACTTCCCTTTGGGGGAAAGAAAACAAACTATCATAATAAAATATAAACATTATTCTAGTTAACCTTTGACTGACATATTCTTTTCAGTCTTTTGTATTTGTGAATAATAGTCTGTATTTTCATCTTTACAGGTGTTTGCTAAGATAGTGGAACATGTTTGTTGTCTATTTATTGATTATGTATAGTTTCTAATTCAAATGTACAAAAAATCAGAGCTTTCATTCTTTAAGATACATATGAATTATTTTTCAAGTCAGGTTTTATTATTTTAAGGGAGTTTCACTGTAAATTAAATCAAAATTTAGTTTTCATCAAAAGTCATATGCAATATGCTCTATGACATTGAATGGTCATAGTAAGTAGTAAATAAGAGGTTACATTTTCAACTGGTTTGCCTTCAATAATGAAATTTCCTGAACAATTTTACAGCAAAAATGTTGAGAACTGAAGAATAAATAAAAAGAAAGTATTCTGTTTGGTTTTTCAATTGCAGTGTTCTGCATACTGAGAAATAAAAAGGTATCTGCCTGCCCTATAAATAACTTAAAATTTTTGATTAATTGTACAATTGAAAATATTCCTGATTATGAAAGTAAAGAAATACAATAATGATTTTTTTTGTATCATGAAAACTGAATTTGTTATGTTTAGAACTCATTATTCTTGCTCAAACAAAATAACAAATAAAGTGTGGCATTTAAAACAGTTCAAAAGTTAGTAAGTGATACGAGTGTTTTGATTTTATAAAATACAATGTTGTTTTTTGTTTTTATTTTGTTTTTCTGTTTTGTTTTTACAAAGGACACACTCCTTGAACTTATAGAAATGACATTGAACCCCCTGAAATTGATGATTTTATTCTGTGTAAGAGTATTACCATGGTATATTATAGTGAGAACAGCCATTATAATTTGTTTCTGTAAATTTGTTTTCAAAAGATAATTATTATCTAATGTTGGTTTAATATTTTAAAATAATTCTTCAGGAAATGATTTTCTAATGCTGTCTCTTTAAGCAAACTTCCCTTGTTTCTCAAAGCTAGACTTATTATAC